GGAATGTTGGTATAACAAAATTCCTTGCTGTACATTATATGACGATATGAAGCATCCATTAGTTTTAAAGATTCAAAAACTGACATTTTATTCAAGATTATATGCTTTTTGTGCAATATTTTTCGTAAGTCTTTTAAAATTAAAAGTTTTATTTACATGAGTTGCTCATAATCTTCAGCTGCAATTTCTTGCAGCACATTTGCATTTGTTACCATGCCAAGCAAGACGTAGTTTATTCCACTGGTTTATTGTTGTGGTTTTTTTGTTTGGTTGTTTTTTTTTTGCATATTTTTGTTTGTGTCTTTATTTAATCACAAATTGTGTTGGTTAAATTTGCTCTTGAGTGTTGCTTCTTCATTATGAAGTGTTTTAAACTGCATATAAATAAGGTTCATACATACAGCAATATCCTGCACAACATTCATTTGCTCGAATAAAATTAGCCAAGGAACCTATTTGAATAACATAGAAAAAGAAGGAAACCAAGCGCCCAACTGGCACTTCTGAAGGAAGAAATGAAAGCTGCTTCAACGAAGAAATGAAATGAAAGACGTCTTCAACGTCTTTCAGTAGTGCTTAAGTATCAAGTCCACTCATGGAAAATCATTGCAATTCTAATTGAAATTATAGTTGGGAAAGTGAAGATTCTTTTTCTCCTTCAACACAGTTTATACTTGTTTTACACTCTTAATCATAAATCTGCCAATTTTATAATTTCAGTTCCCTAATTTGGACAGATTTAAGTGCCTGCTTGCCCTCAGCTCTGATTCATGTCAGAAGTTACACTGATAACATTTCATGGGTAAGATCACATCTCTTCCTTTGATTTTCAGCTTCTCAGTATATAGTCATTACATTTTAAAAGAAATCTTACTGCTGTGTTAACCAAAATAGAAACTAAACCCACTTTCACTCCCCAAAACACACTGACAAATGTATAACCACAATTTAGGTGGCTGTTTGCTATATGGCCCATTGCTATATGTGAACTAGAGTGATGTATATGGACTATTAAAATATAAAACCAATTATGTAAAATTGATACTTCTGCATTTCCTCCATTTGTTTTGTCTTTGAAAAATGAGGAGATTCAATCCAAAGGTGACATTAACGTGAGATGAAAGATACACAGATCCCAGGGCAACACTTCCTCACCACATTTGAGAAAGACACTAACAGAGTCAAAAGCTTGGACTAACTTTAGGGTTGTGTCATTCCTTTTCTCAGGCTAGATATACGGAAGCACAGATACCGTATGCAAACTGCTTCCAAAGATTTACAATTATTAATTAAGCGTCATAGTCTCAGTACAGAAGTATGCATGATGGCATTAGTGAAGAAATACAGTTTTACACAACACCTTGATTCCTATAGAGCAAGATGTATTGAGCTGCTAGCAATGATTCAAGAACCCTCTAATGTACATTTTATACCACCTACTGATTCCTGCAAAGCGCAATGTATTGTGCCACTAGCAGTGTTTCAACAATCTTCCTGTATAAAAACTGCAGCAAGATCTGGCCATCTAGTGGAATAACAATTGCTGCATACGGTGGACTCTGGCAAAGCAAACACAATAAGCATATCATATTTCAAGGTTTTAAGGCTGATACGTAAATGCAATGAGAGCATGTTAGTAATAATCTCTTGAACCTTTTGAAACAGCAGAGCCTCAAGTTCATGGAGGCATTAGATCACCCTGGTAGTGGTCTTTCACAAAATATCAAAAATTTCTCTTTCCAAGTACATTTCTTTTAACCTTGCTTTTTTTGTTGTTTTTGTTTTTGTTCTTTTTCCTTACTTGGAATGTTTTATCGTTCTATCACCCCTATATGCAACATGAGAACAGGTTATCCACACAGTGATTTCTGTAGAATTTCTGTAGTCCTTGTTGGTTTTGAATAGGTATTTTTCTTTGAACTTAGACAACCAGTAAATACTTCAATGATTATTGAAGTGTATTGATTAATTCAGGTGAATTTTAAAAATTATGCTGAACTGTGCTGTATCAATTTACAATGCAAATACATAAACTTGTTACGTATCTTGGCATGACATGACTTTCAGGAAGAGGAATAATGATCCATTTCATGGTAATGAAAGAAAGCTTAAATATGTGAAGAATATCCGGAACTTAAAAAGCTTTGTAATGAGCAGAATAAAATAAAAATAGTAATCCTGTTCCCATCCTATGTGTATATGAAAGTGCTGCAGTAAATAAGACATTCTTCTGATTGCTAGTGCAGACTGAAAGAAAACTATTTACACATTATTCTAGTTGAAGAATACAAACTGTCTTTTAAAAACAGATAGGCAAATGTAGTATCTTTAACTTGCAAGTTAATTGACCCTCTTCTACCATGAACAATGATGCTAGGAGAGGATTCAATGCTATTTTCATTCAAGGATTAGAAAATGAATATATAAATATAATTTAGTTTCAGCATTATTTTAGCATTATTAGGGGGCTATTTTCAGGAAATATGGATAAAGTTAAAAGCAGTTGTGACTAACAGATTAATTGAATATCATTGCAAAAAAATAAAATAAAAATAAAAATCAAGCAACATTTTTTTTCATGTTCAGTAACACAATTCTAAGGCCAGAAAGATGGGTATTTTCAGTAATGAATTACAACCTTGACTCTATGTAGGAGCTCCTTCAACTGTGACAAAACGATTTCTGGCAGACTACATAGATAAATCCCTATAAAACTCAGTCTTACAGAAAGTTTTCATGAATTAAATTAAACTTTTAGGACATAACTCCCAACTTCATGAAATAGAAAGCCAGCTCTCACTTTCAACATGTTCATTTAAAAATCTTTTGTATATATATCATCTATTGACTTCTGAAATGCAATGTAAAATTAAACATTACCACAGTTGCTTTGTTTTACTCACCGCCAGCATCATGATCTTTATTAAAATCTGAAGGCTTTTTAATCTATATCTGAAAAGACAAGTACCTAAAAAATATAATTTTAAATAGTATTTATACCTCCCTTAACTCTCTAATACTGGTTTTTATTTTTGACTGGTCTTTTGGGGACCCAGCAGTTGGACTTGATGATCCTTATGGGTCCCTTCCAACTCGGATATTCTATAATTCTGTCATTCTATAATCTCTCTTTACATAAAACAATTCACACTTAACTCTCTGTAGCAGGACACAAACACTAATCCAAATGAGTTGTTTTGAAATCCTTTCAAAATTATTACATTTTGTTCAAATTCTTGAAAAAAATTCTTTCTTGTTTTTGTTGGAGTCTTTAATATCATTGCCACATGAAGCTGTTTTTTGCTTTTACTTCTGTCTTCTCTCAAACTCAAGAAAAAATAGTATTTAGCTTTGCTCTTTCATTCAATTCCCTTTCTGTTGAAATGTCTACTTTATAGCCTGAGAGATAATTCATGCTTCTCCGTTGCATTCCTTAGGTTTTTCCTACTCATTTACTGCTTAACTGTTAGCAGTTCCTTACAGACAAACACAGCATGGTGTTTGCATTAAGTATACTGTCATCACTAGAAGTACCTGAACAGTATTGTCATGACCTCTGTTTGTATTCTTCCTACCATCCCTCGCGACTGAAACCTTTATCCATCTCTGTATCTCTTTCTGAGTTATTTGTTGTTTGTTTGTTTTTCTAACCAGTTTTGGAAATTAAATCAGTTTCTTTTGGCCTTTGCTCCTCGCTTCTCACTTTAAAGCTTTTTCTTATGAGGCATAAAAGCCTTGATGTTAGAAGGTAATTTTCCCACATAATCTGATGGAATCCATCCTTTGAAAATGCTCTCTTTTAGTAATGCATCCCGCTGGCTAAGTATTCCCAAACCTGCCTTTAACATTGATCTTGGAGCTATCTATTGATCATCATTATGTCATCATATTCCAGTTTTCTTCTGTAGTAATTATATAACTTTCTTAGTGGAATGTTTTATAGTTATGAAATGACTCCAAGAAGCAAACATACATACATATTTTTTGTTTCAACTAGCAGATCACAGGATGTGAAAAAAAAAAAAAAAAAAAAAGAAAAGAAAAAGACATTAGAGCCATAATGGCTACCTCTTTCTGGAAGGAAGGAAGGAAGGAAGGAAGGAAGGAAGGAAGGAAGGAAGGAAGGAAGGAAGGAAGGAAGGAAGGAAGGAAGGAAAAGAGATTGGATTAGCTGTGTGCTACCAAAAGGCAAGGGGAAATTGATGGAACTCCAGCAGAGCTGAAAGAAAGGGAGTGTAAAGTACCCCTGGCAGTTCTGGAACACTGAACCTAAACTAGATTTCTTCAAGACTGATGGAGATAAGTGCTAAATCCAGGAGTCACTGGAATAAATCCATGATGCTTTTGCTCAGAAAAATAATTTCCCTAAAAGCTCATTCATTTCAGATTTACTCTGTGTCATTCCACTAATTTCAATAAAGTAATTTTCGATCAGCAATCAACAATAACCACTTAATGTTAATATAGATTTGACTAGGTAGCTTTCAGGTTCTCTGTTTTTAAGCAGAGCTAAAACACGTTTTCTTTCCTTAGGCATCCTTTCAAATCTAATTCATATCTGACAAATGAGACAAGAAATCAATAGTATGTAGTATACACTGTATAATGACCCGGAAAGTTCTTAAAATAGCTATGCTTGCTTCAGAATAGGTATTGAGTATTCTGTATACAATTATTTGGCACTGTTACAATTGGCCAAGTTCCACTGAAAATACAATTCTGTAAAAAAGGGGTAAACCAAACAGGGCATGAATCTGTATGCTCACGATACTTTTAAATTGCGTGACAAAACACAGTAGCATACAAATCAGGTTTTATTTTGATCTTTACCATCACATTTAAGACAGCATGAACAGAAAAATATGAACATATGTAGAACATACACAGCATGAACAGTATGTGTATGTTGTACATACACAGTATACTGTACATTCCCACTTCCATGTCATTAAGGATACTGTAGCATTAGACAATACTATGAGTTTCTCAGGTTTTCTTACCTCTGCCTTGGCATGCGGATGAGTGGCTGTTTATGGCATCTCTTACTAAGGCCAAAGAGCTTGTGAACAATTTTCTGTGCCTTGAGGAAGAGCTGCTTCATGCTGTTTTCTAGTTGCTCGTAGCGACGTTGAAAATTAGAATCCATTGTCCACAAATGCATTACAGTAGATGTGTTCAAGAAATAATTCATGGGCAGCCTCTTCATAAATAATTTGAATTCATCTAAAAAAAAAAAAATAAAAGAGGTAAAATTTAATAGACTTTAATTATGTAGTTATTTTTGCAGCAAAAATTAACTTCTTATTTGGTGTTCTCAAACTTCAAAAATTTTCAAATGAACTTTTGCAATTTTGGAATTGAACTTTTTAACTGTTTTAAAGTAGAAAGATAACTACATTTTTAATGTCAATACTAGCACAAAAAACATCAAACGTTGATTTTCCATATTCAGGACAGAGGTCCATGATGAAATAAAACGTATTTTTTGGCATAGATTTTTCTGTGATGGATTATGATTCATTGGAAGAAAAATGACATTGAAAGGTCTTCAGGAAGGTACAAAATGAAAAGCAAGGGCAAAAAGAGTGACTTAATATCTAATAAGCTGGTTTTAATAATGCATTTGGGATCTCCTTAGCAATGTGTTATTCATTTTCTTGCCTTGCCTTCCTCTTCATAGCCTTCTACTATTCTCCACTTGAGGTCAACACCACTGCCCCCCTGCTGTCCCTGGGTGCAAATTGAGGGTCTTAAGGAGTTGTTTCATTTATGAAGTATTTGAACCCTAATTCTTACCCTTCACCTCTTCCTGATCCTTTTCCTAATTTTATCTAAGATATTGGTTCTTATCCCTTATTCAAAAAGAGTAAATATGTGTTTTTACCTTAATTATTCGATTTAATAGAAGTATTTGACAAGTTCTGCTTTACCACGAGCAGCTCTTTGTCTTTTGGTGTAATTCTGGGAGAACCTATTCCCAAGTGACAAAGTGACAATTACACCTTAGTCTCCTTGCACAACACATCCTAGATAGCTTTTCCCTTCAAGGCTTGCATAGATCTTGTGAGTGAGGGTTGTTTGGTTTGTCTGAAAGAGGCACAGTCTCATTGATTTGGTAGAGCATTTCAAGCCTGAGGAGTGTATTTTCAAATTTATGAAACTAGTATCAAAATAAATAAATAAATAAATAAATAAATACAATAAATACAATAAATACTATAAATAAATAGGGTTAACTGAACTGTTTCAAAGTATGTCCTTTGGCAAAACTCTGATCTGCAGTTTGTATAAATCAGCTAAACTCTACTGACTTCAGAGGAATGTACTAATACACCCAGGTAGGATCAGATCCAAAAGCTGCTTTCCTGAATACCTGTTTTAATCACTAACTTCTCATTTCTCTTCTGTTCTTCTGAGACACTGGTATATTTACTTAAACTCAGTGTCATGATGACCAAAAATAAAAATAAAAATCTCAGAGAAGAGAATGTATTCAGAATATGCCTTTTCAGTTTCCATATTTATGCATTAATTTATTTAAGAAGCACTGTCCTTTGCACAATGGTAATAAACTCTACAGCTAACAACTAATCAGATGCAATGTTTAGAAGCGATAAGGAGGGTTTACAGACTTTAACTTACAACGAAAAACCATTCCAACAAGAAAATGCTCCTTTTCCTTCCTGTAATAAACATCATCCTTGACTACCCCTGTGCCCAGTATGATCATGCTAATGAGCACCACCACAATGCAGGTAAAAGAGAGACAGAGATAAAATGAGCATGGTTACATAGAGCCTTCTGAAAAAAAAAAAAAAAAAAAAAAAAGGGAAGGGAAGGGAAGGGAAGGGAAGGGAAGGGAAGGGAAGGGAAGGGAAGGGAAGGGAAGGGAAGGGAAGGGAAGGGAAGGGAAGGGAAGGGAAGGGAAGGGAAGGGAAGGGAAGGGAAGGGAAGGGAAGGGAAGGGAAGGGAAGGGAAGGGAAGGGAAGGGAAGATAATGTGCTCATACCTTAAACAGACACATTTCATGATCTGTGAAACTACAACATGAACTCCGACCATTGAGAGATGATTAAACTATTACATTCTAATCAACACATTATACCAGGCGTTTGTGAGGATTAACAGCAAGTACTATAGTGCTGGTGGCCATATAAATTGATACTGTTAAAACATGATACCTGATACCACATATGATATGATTTCAGCACTTTCTAATTTATTTTCACATAGGTGGCTATCAAATGCACACATAATACTATTTTTTCATATTAATAACTTAAAATAATGTGAAAAATATAAACAGATGCAGTGATTGATCAAACAAGTTTATTTAATTGTTTCATTTATAGCTGGTCATGTCTGCTGGTAAGCCAAGGTTACCGTTATCACATCCCCAAACAGCACTTCCTTGTTAATCCAGCCAATCCAGCCCTGTGTCACCTCTCTTGGTCCATACAGTATCTATATCAATCAGTTATCCCTCATACTTATAAGGGCTACAAAGATGGTGAAGGGCCTAGAGGGGAAGATACACAAGGAGTGGCTGAGGTCACTTGGCCTGTTCAGCCTGGAAAAGAGGACACTGAGAAGAGACCTCATCACAGCCTACAGCTTCCTCACAAGGGGGAGTGGAGAGGCAGGTGTCATTCTGTTCTCTTTAGTGACCAGTGATAGGACCCAAGAGAATGGAGTCAAGCTGCGATAGGGGAGGTTCAGGCTGAGTATCAGGAAAAGTTTCTTCACCAAGAGGGTTGTCGCACACTGGAACAGGCTCCCCAGGGACATGGTCACAGCACCAAGCTGAGTTTAAGAAGTGTTTGGACTGTACTCTCAGTCTTATGGCCTGAATTTTTGTGTAGATCTGAATGGAGCTAGCAGTTGGACTCAATGATCCTTGTGGGTCCCTTTCAACTTGGGATATTCTATGATTCTATGATTCTATAGCCTCCAGAAACCTCCTTAACTGCTTGTGTCCCACAGTGTTGACCTTCCAACAGATGTCAGGAGGATTAAAGACCCCCATGAAAACCATGATCTGTGATCCAGATATATCCTTCAGATACTAAAAGAAGGTTTCACCTACATTTTTGTTCATTTCATTTTTGTACACATTCATGTGTACATTTTGTTTGACCAGAAGGTTTGTAACACACCCATCACAATGTCACCCTTGCTGGCCTCTCCTCCAACCCTGGCCAACAAGCAGGATAAGATCCTCTGTTGTCCATCCAATAGCAGAAATCCATACATCTAAGCTGCTCCTTAACATAGAGGAAAACTACCTTCATCATCTCTTGTCTTTCCTCATGAACACATCCATCTTTCACAGCGCTGCAGTGACGCAAGCTGTCCCACCCTGTCACTTCTGTTCTAACAATGTTGTACCTCTGTGACCTCACACATAGCTCTGGTTTGTCCTACTCACTTCGTGGGGTGGGTGCCTTTGATTAGACATATTTGAAGCATATCCTTTCTTCCTGTTTTATCATTACTCTTTTTACTGTCACCCAGCACAATGTATTTCAATGCAAATTTTTCCCCTTACTTAACAGGACCAAGAAGATATCCCTTGGGCCTATGCTCAACCCTCAGAACCATGAATGCACTCCTGATATTCAACAGGTCCCCCATGGAAGTCTCGTCAGTGCTCACATGAATGAGTAACAAGAGATAATAATAATAAATGAGCCAAATGAGACTCAGAAGTTTCTCCTCAACATCCTTGATCAAAACCCCCAGCAAGCAGCAAATCTCCCCAGAAAGCAGGTCAAGAAGAAAGGAGTCTCCAAATACCTTTTCTCCACAGGAAGGAAGGTCTCCAAATACCATTACCCACTATTTTTTTGGAGTCTGCATGTGGGTACAGCCTAGCCAACTCTGATGGCTGACCTTATCTGCTGATGTTTTAAATAAACCTGCTATTTTAATACAACTACTGGTTTATTTTTGCTATATGCTAGAATCTGGGGAGAAGACTACCAATTAATTTCACACAAAAGTTAAGAAAAGCTTCTATAGCTGTTTCACAGCAAAGGCTCCTTAGTAGATCTGCACAGAGCATAGTAATCCATTTTGTGATAGGATTTTTAGTATTTCAAAATCAGAATGCAACCTAAATTTTTTGAAATTTTAGGTAATTCTTCAAGTGTCTGATTTCTCTAAAATTATATGAAGGGAACATTGAAAGGTTTTCTTGATTTACTTTTCTGTGAATCAGTCAAAATTCTTCACCTTGACAGAACAGAAATTTTACATTTATATGTCAACATTTAATTTCATATTATAAGAGAAATGTTATAAAGTCAGAAATCACAAAATGAATAATTATTTTAAAAATGTCAAAGTGTTTTCCTGTATTCTGGCAAAAATGTATTACTTTGTAATTATTGAAGGATTGTTTTTCTTCAGAAGAATTGCCTCAGTATTTCGTAATATTTTGTAGATAACACTTTATGCTTTCTACGTTTCAGCAGTCTTTTCTATTTAGATTGCCAGTTCTTCAGAGAAGAGCCTGTCCCTTATTATATCTTTACAGGGCACTTAGCACAATAGACCCCAAATTTAATTGTTGGCATGTAATAAAAATAATAATAATAATAATAAATTTGCCTGTGTCTTAAGGCAACTGTATCCTCTCTGGAGTCCACACTGATAGCTGCATTTAATGTGAAGAGCGAGACTTCTGATGGGAACAATCTCATAAATCCCAACACATTATTACACCTTTTACGTAACAGGACTGTATGTGGAGGAAAAAAAAAAGTTTCTCCTTAACAATATGAACATAGTAATATAATTACTTTCCCATAACAATGTTTTTAATTGTTACCAAGGCAATAAATATTACAGCAAGTCAAATACCAGCATCAGCTGCAAATTGATACCTCAAACCACAAAGCTGTTAGTCTGAGAGAATAAAAAGCAATAGGGCCTACATTTCTAACAGTTGGATACGGTTGCTGTTCAATAAAGTGCTGCCTCAATATTGTGTAGATATTATTAAAGAGATTTATAAAAGATATATGATTTTTAAAATAGCCCACTGTGATTCAAAAGCCTGGAGAAAACAAAGTACTAAAATGAACATATATTTGTTTTTATGTTGCAATGAATTATAGTTGTTTGTGATACATTACTTAATTTGTCATGGAAGTAGCAGCTGTGATCCAAGAAATATATGTTTGAAACTAATCCAACTGAAGGAAGCATAAGACTGTGGC